CACGCCGTTTCTCTGAGTTCGACTTGCTATACTCTGGTAGTAGAGCCACCCGCTGAGTCCTGTATGATATACAGAATATAGATCGAAGATATTCGAAGATATTGGCGGCCGCCGGACCCAGACTAAAGCTTCAAGGGATTTGGAGGCGTTGATTGGTGAGCACAAGATTTTTGGTCATTGCAGTGTTACTACCTTGACCCCAGGAGCACGTCGACCGGCAGCTCTTTCTCATCGTGGAGGCATGCCTCGGGTCAGACGAACAGTGCCTCGTGGCGGTCTTCGTCGGGAGCGTTTCCCCGGCCGAGCGGGCGGTTGACCGGTCGGACCGACCGACGAGATCAGGCCTCGTTGCGTCCGCGACAGGTGGTGAGTGCGGGTCGACCAAGCTCTTGGTCTTTGGCCCGAATGGCGCTCTGGTGTGAGTTCAGCTTTTACCACTTGGTCAGGGAGAAGGCCGCGGAGCGCAGAAGGGCCCGCCCTGTTGGTTTTATGATTTTTCGTGCAATGATTCTCTGAAAAAGGACCCTAGGGGCTTAGGATGGACCACAGCGGCCGCCACAGGAGTAGTACTTTGACCCCTGCCTTCTTGGGGCCGTTGGGTGGAACAAGGGAGTGGTCAAATTAGGGCTTCCTCCTGAAAGAAGTCATGGAAGGAAGAGAAGGTGCCCTAAAGATCAGCCCCTCACCTTAAGGCATGACCATTCTTCGTGGTAGCTTTTGTCCTCGGATGTCATGTCACTTGTCCTGGATCTAGCCATGCTCTTGTTCTGGGAGACCCTGCGAGCGGATCATACTCGGAGCTGTGGCATCGTTCCATTGACCTCGCGGGTGAGGTAAACTCTAGAGAAGATGTGGGGTGTGAAAGCGCCACTTGTGTTTTGTGACTCAATCACTTGATGTTTGTTTCGAGCGCGACAGGCCCAATCCACCTGTTGCCGGATCCTGAGGATCCTGATGTGCCGGGCAGGACCACTTGGAGCTCAAGATCGCGTACTGCGTCGCAATCATCGGAGTGCTTCGCGAATGTCCCGCAGAGGCGGGAGAACGATCAAGCTTTAGCCACTGCGGCCACAAAACGTGCGTAAAGCGGGCGGCGCGAACTTCACAAGGGTGGTCCATCGCTGTGGGGACCTACTTGTAGGAGGGAAAAGGCAGGTTGCTGTTTGACCAAAAAGCTTGATTCCTTGTCACTCCCAGCTTTCACCAGCCTCACCAGATTTGGAAGCCGATGGAAGGTTTCCAGGTTCAACATGGTTCAATCAATCCTTTTTAAAGCAGACTTCATTGATTCATTGATCTCAGGGCCTCTCCAGCTTTGTGGCTGTCCCCGCATCGGGGGGGGCTTTTTGTCGGTGAAGCTTCGCCATCAACTGTTTGTGGTGGATGCGAGCCATATCAAAAAACTGCGCTCTAGGGGACCTCGCCCTAGGATTCCAACCGCCATTGATTTCATACGTAGTTTAATGTTTCTCACCTATGGGCTTTGGAATCCTTCCTCTTTGGGTCTGTATGGTCATCCACGCGTTTTCCTCCGCGTGGCCGAACGAAGGAGGAGCTTCTGGACCGTCACTCGCCCGAGGACAGCGGGAGGGAAGCGACTGGCAGGTTTCCCTGCTCCCTGTCAAAGAACCGGGACTGGTCAATAGAAAAAATAGATGAACATACACTGCACACTTATGGTTGTTTTCTCCCTGAAAGCATGATGGAAGTGGATGGCATAGCCCTGAAAGGATGGCCATGGAATCTGAATAGCAAAGAGGTAGTTTTCACTCCAGTTCCATGACTATACATTTTCAGGGAATGTAACATCTATATACTGTAGATGAACATCTGTTCATGCAGTAGACCCCGCCAAGTGGACTCATCTCAAAAGGCCAAGCATGGCAAAGCGTCATGTGGAAAGGTGGGAAGCTTGAAGGGTCGTTGGGATCCTTGGATCATGTGGGATTCACGGGCCAGATATCAGTTAACCAGGCCAACCAGGCATGTCATGCATTTCAGCTCAACCAGGCAGATATCAGTTGCAGTGTGCGCAACTGCGCGTCCATGCTGCGCGTGCTGTGCATGCTATGCCGACTGCGCGTACCACAGCGTTTCGTCGCGTCAGCGCAGGTGGATACGGCGCTTGGCCCTGAAGGGGCAGAAGCGGGGCACACCGCCGAAGGGGCTGCGAAGCTTTCCTGCGCAGCTGAGCACAAGGACGGCCTGAGCTGAGTGGAAACAACTCAAGGAGTTCCACTAACCGTTAACCACGTTGTGAATTCTGACTTGATCATTCCGTTTGACTTGAGTGGAGATGGCGTTTACATGCGTTTGCCTTGTAATTACATATAACCAAAGTTGGTGCTGAAGGTTTCCTCATTTCCAGGTGGGCTCCGCTCCAGCACCGTGTCAAAAGCTGGGCGTCTCCTCTTTTGATTGGTGTGGCGTCTGCTTCTCCTCTTTCGCAACTGGAGACAAACCCTCAGAAGAGAAAGGTCTCGTTGTTTCGAAAGGTCTCGTCGCAGAGATCGGATCCGTGGATACTCCGGGGACTGGGATACTCCAAGGAGACGCCCCACACGTCGGACATGACTGGGGCGTGAAAGGGCATGCTTCCAACCAGCCATTTTTGGGGGCTCAAGAAGGAAGCAAGGGGATGATGTCTGAAAGTGTCTGGAGGTGAACGGGGATGACGGATGACCTCTGTAGCCATGGAATTGGATGCTTGAATTTGTGGAAGTGGAAGCCCCTGATCGTGCTCACCCTGGGTGACCCTCCAGCTGATGATCCTGATGCATGTGTCGTCGTATATTCCACCCAACCAACCAATATGATATGATACATCATGATAAATTTCGTCCTGAACCAATTTCGGTGGCCTGCCCTTCAGGTGGTTTTGCCGCCCAGAAAGCCGCAACATGCAGAAACCTTACATTCACATTGGACTCTTCATCGCTCTTTGCCTTTTTTGGCTTGAAACCACCGATGGGGGCGGACGATCATGCTTTGCAGGACGAGAGCCTCGATAGTGAGGACGAAGAATCTGAGGCCAGCGGGTCTGTCAGTGAATGGCGATGCTGTTAGTCTGAAATGGTTCTGTCAGGCCGGAGCTTTAGATCGAAAAACATGTACATGTAGAAAGACAAATCAGATCATAAGCAGAGCTGTCTCTCCAGGATGGATCATGGTAGTGCCGTGTAACAGCCTGGCCAGGATGTCCTGGTTTGATTCTTGAGAAACGGGATTCGATACTTACTTTTTTGTATTTGAAACTGTCTTTGATCTTGATGTTCTTTTGGAATCTTTTGGATGTGGATGTTCCTTGAACCTTCCTTTCCCTTCTCACATCGCTTCGAACCATCCAGCCTTCGGCAGGGCGGCTTGCACCCTGGCGTCCCGGCTCCCCTGCCGCCCTTGCAGACGCGGTCTCCGCCACAGGCGCGGTTTCTTGGCGGGGGGGGGAGCATGGGGACGAAGCAGGTCAGCCGGCTTTGGGGGGGTTTGGCTTGGGGGAGACCCCCGAGCCGCAAACTCTCGGGGTCGGAACGCCGTGTTTCGGTCAGCTCAAAGCGCTGCACATCCAGGCAGGACTATTTACAAAGAGGTCTGACTGTTTGATGAGGTGAGCCGAGTGAAAAAGGACACGAAAAGATACGAATAGCAATTTCTGGAAGATTACGTGACCAAGAGAGTCGAACTGGATTTCGTTCGGGGGATGTTTGCCATGAACGAGAGGGATTGGATGGCATCCGATTTTCGAGCTAATATCCCCTTTTATTGGGGTGCATGTGAAGAAATTGGGGAAGACATTGGTTCGGCAAACTCTGGACTCCTTTGAACCACCGGACCGGATTAGATTGCAACTCTCGACAGTTGTTCTGTGCTCTTTGTCGTCGAACCATGTCGAAGCGAAGTAGGGTGACAAGCGAAGTGGGCCGACCTCAAGCAGAAGTGGAAGGACCCTATAGACTATCCCATAGGCACCCCAGCAGGGTCGTACAAGGTCACTTACCCTCTCTTGGGACCGTTGGTCTATCAGAACCTGACCCTCCAAAACTGAACGTCGGTTCACATCTCGATTCACATCTCTCCAACGGACGGTTCTCTTGCCACAGCGCTGGGGGCCTCCTGGCCCGCCCAAATCAAATGGTCCGGCGCGGCGCAGGAAGCCCAGGAGGAGAATGGCGCTGTCGCGCTGGTTTGAGTAGGGAGGCCAGCAAATGTTAGTTGTCCTCAAGGTGTTGTACATACTCTGGCTTGGAGATGGATCTCTGGCTTGGAGATGTGGATTCTCTCAGCAGACGTGGATCCCTGCCTAGTGCCTAGTTTTGCAAGATCCACTCAACAGACGTGGATCCCTGCCTAGTTGAGTGCGCAAGCATGCGAAAGCCCCTGCTCGGAGAGTGCGAAAGCGCTCACTGGAGTGGGAGAGTGCGCGGCGCTCACAAGACCCTAGACTATCTTCGACTAATGACTCCAGTGCTTGCAAAGGCCAGCAATATCTTTAAAGCCTTTAGGGTGCAAAAAGAGACGACCGCTTGCGGAGCTCCAAAAAGGCTTTTACAGCCGATCCCGATCACCCAATGGATCTGTCTCGATGGACCGCATCGTCAGCGACCCTTGCTTGATCTTCTGTCGGGGGGGGCTCGAGTGAGCGGGCGAGGAGATCAACTTCGGAGAACTTCGAACATGGGTGCTTGCCCCTACAGCTTACCAAGCCTAGTAACATCGGTGAGCAGCTAGCACATGCTAGCAAAGAGCATATGCAACTGGATGATTTCAACCTATCTGCGTCCAGTTCTGTATCACCTTGGAGCCAGATTCTGTCTCCCTGTGGCTTTGCGGCTCGACCGCAGTGCTGAGACCGACGGGAGCGTCGAGACTGGCGAGGTGTTCGGGGTCGAGGGTGGTGGTCGGAATGAATGGATTGACGACAGGAGAAGCTGGTTGTAGAGGCATCCTAGAGTAGATAGAATATGGGAAGGCTCCCCAAACAATAGACCACATTCTCTTATATAGGTTTTTGGATTTTCTTCATATCTACTCCCGGATGGTGGTGAGATCGTTGGTGAGCGACCTACTGCTTTTTTGATGCTTTTTCTTTCGGATTTCTCAGGCGGTGAGACTGCCCGTGGATTTTCCATGGCAAGCCTAAGCAACTCTGCAGTCTTGCACCATTGTATACTGGCCAGAATCCCTGACAGTGCGTTTGAGGTTTGTGAGGTTTGTTTGTTTGCGCAGGTTTTCAAGCTTGCTTTCGGAAGATCCAGATCATCCAGATCCCTTCCAAGAGCTTTGGCCTTTGTGTCCTTGAATCTTTGGGAAACAAGCATCGCAAAACGTTACAAGGTTTGTCGTCTCCACCCTCGCAAAGGATTTCGTCGCCTGCACATTGTTTGTGATTCACATTGAAGCTACAATGCTACCGGAAAAGAAGTGAGATGAACGCACCTGGCCTACATACCCGTTTGTATGTCGTTGAAGAGAGCGTCAGCAGCATGCTCTTCATGCTGCCAGGTCTCCACGTCTCCCGGCGGCGAGCGGACCGCGGACTGGACGATGCCGGCCCAGGAGGCACGAGCTGAGCACGACACACCAAACAAAGACTTTGGGAGGGTCATGGTATGGTCATGTGGACTCTGTGATTTCATCAATCCTGGGACATAAGTTGACTGAATGAGTCAAGAACATGGAATCCTGCATCTTCTGGGTGTATCACGGACCGGTGGGGGTGTTGGCGCGGTTGGGGTCCTGAACCCAAGGGGATGTAGTGTGATCCAATCCAGCTTTGATGTATACAAGTGGATTGGGGCACGCCTCATCAGCCTCATCCCAAGGATGGCTATCCATTCACGAAATTTGTATTACAATATAGTGGCTTGTTGGCTGCTGAACATGAAATTGATCTCGCACTGGTCCCTGCTCCCTTTGCCGGCTTGGTCAGGGCACGCCCCAAAAAGATGGATCACAATTTGAGCTGGTATCCCGGCTGTCCAAAAAGGGTGATCTAGAGATGCTCAGGAGCCCCAACTGTCCGGTCTGCTGCCGGCCTCGTCCGTCATAGTGGGATCGAACGGTGGAGCTCGCAGCGCATTCTTTTCACGAAGCTTGGAATTTCTGTTCAGGACGCTTCTTGCAACACTAGTTATCTCGTGTTATTCTTTAGGACCGGATAGGCAATAGGTCCATTGTAGACGCCCCATCCTGAAAAGCAACGCAACGGATCCGCTTTGAGGATCGCAACCCGGCAGGAAGCGATCTCCTTCCACCGGGTCCTGGTTGTACCTGTGTTTGTATCGGAGGCTCACGCGTTAATGGGGAGACGCGGATTCTTGGCACCGTTTTGAGCATTTTGCGATCTGCAGTCTTTGGTGAAAATGGCTGCGAAAGCTCAGTGGACTTTGGTGAACAACACCTTTAAAGACCTTCCCCGATGGGAGTTGCGCGATTGCATGACGTCCAATCAGTCACTAGCCACCTCGGCCAGGATGGTGCAGCATCGGTCGTACTCATGCTGGTGCTTCAGTACGTTTGCGACCCTGTTTCGTCGGCATCTCAGGACCGTGGCCTGGACACCTGACGAGGTGATGCGAAGTAGATAGTAGGTCCAGCCTTCCTTCCTTCCTTCCTTCCCTCCCTGTTTTTGGAGTGATGTTGCGATCATCGGAGGACTCGGTCGATGAGAATGATCAAGAGGACTTGGTCAAGTTCGTCGGGCGGAAGCAGGGCTGAAAAAGCAGCTGTTGCACGAGGAGTCCTTACGTAGGAGCAGGTGTTGGAGAACCACAGTAACTTCACGAGTATAGACTTGACGAACAAAACCCTCCATTCCGAATGTAAAATTACGTGGGGGGGTTCGTAAGTCAAGCATTACTGTATTTATTTATGATATTTTGTGATGTTATTACAGCTCAGGTTTAAAAGAGCAGGTGTTGCAGGTGACAGGGTGACTGTTGAAAATAGCGGTCGGAGCTTGAACATATTGTTTCTTGGCTCCCCCAGAGTGATTCGAACCAGAATTCAGCTCCTCGGCGGATCTTTCTTTCATAAGGACCCATTTCAGACCAGATCACAGAGACCATCCATCCATGTCCATCCAAGTTCTATCCAAGTTCCAACTAGATCAACCTCAGAAAACCTGATTTTTCCCGAGTCTTCAGTCCTCGAAGTCCCGTTTCGGCGGGACCGGAGGATCGCAATACGGATCGCGTGCACATCAACAACGACGCAGACGTGGAGGCGCAGAAGTCTTCGGCAGATTTGACTCCTGGTTTTGACTCAACGCTGTGGTCGGGTCTCATGAGGTCCGATTTTCAGGGCACCTCCCTAAAAAAGTCGATACATGACTCATGGGTCTCAAGGTGTCTGAGCTCTCTTTTCGTCAAGGAACCAAAGCCTTTCCTTTCCAACAAAAGTGTCTCCGGAAGCCGCGTTTTGGTCGAGCCCCTGCTCCAGGAAGCCTATGATGCTTGCTGCGCTTGAACCCGCGTGCACGTGGAAAGCAGTCGGTCTCGTGGAACTTTGCTATTGCGCCCAAACCCGCCCCCAGTGCTGACTTTGATTACAAACCTGATCTCAGAGGACCAAACTCGATCTTTTGTGATTAAAACCAGAAGACCCAGACCTGGGGCGGGATGGGTTTTTTGGTGCAGGAGGGCAAGCGTGCTCAAAGGAGATTCCGCTCCGTACGGGTGACAAGACCCGCCTGCAGACCCACAGTGGCGTTTCGAAGCAAACAGGCACGGACTTCGGCGGATGTGCAAGGAAGAAAAAGTGATGAAACCGAAAAGTGGGAGAATGAGCGAGCTGCGTTGTTTCACGGAGAGGTCGACAGTGGCTTTGGTGCCGCGATGGCTTTTCTACAGCACGTGAACTCGATGTTTGGTGTCCTTTCGAAGCACCTTGCTTGCCGGAGAGTATGACCTCTCACCTGAAGGTTTTCAACAGGTACCAAGTGACAGGACCCGGACTTGGACGCCAGTCCTTTCTCCCAGCACTGATCTTCGCCTTGGTTGACTCACCATCAGTCCTTTGAGAAGGTCCAGGTGTTGTGGGGGCCAAGGCTGTCCTCCTTGCTGATCGGATTGTTGATGAGAGAGAGAGAGAGAGGAACTCACTGGTCTGTCCGAACGCAGCGGAGCTCGGTCCGTCCGAACGCAGCGGAGGCCCCTGCCGCATTACGACGTGAACTACACCGTGAGGTGGCGGAGCACAAGGGGCTCAATGAAACTGGAGGAACATGTGTTAACTGGGTGAGTGCAAAGGATCGCATTCCAAACAGAACCTTTTGGCCATGATTCCATGATCGCCCGGAAACTGACATGGGAAATGGGCCATAATGTCTTTCCATCCAATTGATTCGAATCCGTTGAAGAGGAAGACGTAGATCTCGGTTGGCTCGCCAGTGGTGGCCTTGATGCCGTTCCCGGTCCCCAATATCGTTCATTGTTTCGTTGGGCTCCCAAGAGGTTTCGTCCAAAAAACTGGTTAATGTAAGGACCTAAGATTTTGATACAAGGTCCATCCAAGTCAGCTTTGCTGTTCTGAAACGTTTTGGCCGCCCATCCACAATCGGACTGTGCGCCCCAAAACGCAATCAGCGCTTTCTGGGCCCTGAGCTGCATTGACAGCCACCCGAAGAGGATGGCAGCTTTTGGATGTTCCTTCTATTAAAATAAGGGGGTGCCAAGTATCGCCACAAATGCTGACTGGCGCGAAGCCGGTTCCAAGCGTGCATGGTCCAAGTCCAAAGTGCCGAAAAAGAAAGCTCACCGTCTTTGTCCGGGTGTTGGGCTAGACCCTTCGGCCATCGGTCTCCACCTGGGGATCCAAAGATGTCAATCATCGGGCCCATCCTTTTTTGGTTTTCCCAGGTGGGGTGAGAACTGAGCACGCCCGAAACGTTGATAAAAGGTGAGATAAATGATGATGAATGCACCAAATTGATAGTTTTGGACTCCACTCCCAGTGCAGACCACCGCCGCCAGGCCGTTGGAACTTGCTTGGCCCAACTTGGTGCGGACGCCGTGGCCTTAGCTCTGCGGAATTGGATGATGAGCCATGGCGATGAGCCACGTTTCTCAATGTTTCTGATTCATTCCGTTTGGTCCTTTGGACTTGTCTGCGATTTGAATGACAGCCTAGGGGTGCTGCTGCAGAGGCCGAGACGTTGCGGTGGAATGGAACTCGGGTTTTGGACGTGGGAGGAAAGTGAGTCAAAGTGAGGATCCTTTTGGGAGCAAGTCCAAGATGAAAGTAAGGAAAGAATTCGGAATATGAAGAGGTTTGGAGGCCGAAAACTGAGAAGCACGAAAATGGTCTTGAATGGTCTTCATTGAAGCACGAAAAACATGTTTTTGAAGACCACCCGATCGTCACTCCAAGTCCAGCTGGACAGAGCTGGTGATATTAATGATACACTCAAACATCACCAATAATTAATATTGCAGAACGCGGGAGAAGGTCTTTCCACCAGTTGAAGGCCATGCTATTTCCATTTCCTTTGTGGAACTTGTTCTTTCCTTGGTCGGTCAAAGGTTCGATGGACACCTTTCTGTCCGGTTGGAGGGCACTGAAAAATGAAACCACCGTCATTTGTTTCCTTCCTGCCCACCTGGATTGCTCACCAGACCTATGCGATTCCCTGCTATTCTTGCTACCACAGGCGCCGCGGGCAGCAAGGCTGCGGTTGGACCAGCACTTTGCGGAGGCCCAAAGTTGCGCAGCTTGCGATCCGTTGGAGCATCAACTGGGGTAGTGCCATTTGCAAATGGCATTTCCCTGATCGCACACACACGCGCTTTCCAGCAACAGTAGATGGCACAATTCAAAAAGCCGTGCCAGGCATTCTACGGCGGAGAAATGAACATCCATGAACATCGGAAGATTCGGAAGGAAATGCATTCGCACTTCTTTCCCACCAACAACTTGTACAACAAACCTCTGCACCGGCAAAGGCGTTCCACCTACCTGTTAAAAAAAAGGGGTTTTGAAGGCAAAAGGTACAAATGTAGGTCGCGCATGTTTTCTTACAGTTTTCTACTCCGCGTGTGCTGGGGAAGCATGACTTCGTGCAAGTCTTTGTTGCATATCAAGAAAAAACAACTAACAGTAGTTAGCACTATGAACATCCAAGTGTGGACATCTTGGTGAGGATGGATGTATAGTATAGATGGCGCAAGGCGCGGGTTTCAATCTTCTGAATCATTTGTGCCGTCCATTGGGGTTTAGGTTAATTGGTACTGTAGTTTCGGTAGCTTTACTGTACATGGTCGCTTGCCCAGAACCTCCCGCCGTTTTGTTGAATCATGATGGATCAGGTACTGTAGATACTGTATACAGACTGTATACACTACTGTATGTGGAACCACATGCAGTACAGTACAGTAGATTGAGGAACCTCCTTTTGCCACAGAACAACGAGTTGCAAGAACAGGTTCCATCTACATTCAAAACAAAAAGACAGTGGTCGTTGGCACAATCGAGTGGTTTGCCCAGCTCTACTTGTGCCACCAGGGTAGCTGGGAGCAGAGAATCCTCTTGCGCATCGAGTGTCAACAGCACGTGATGTTGGATGGGTTTTCCATGCCAAAGGGGATGCAAGATCTGCTTCCGCCGAGTTCAAGCGACCGCCTCAACAAAGATTCGGTGGTTTGTGGTGGTCAGTGGGTTTCTATAGGGGGTTATCTATAGAACCTATTAGAGCATTTATATTTGAAACCTATTAGAACCTATATGTGGGACTCGGAGTCGATGCTGCAAAAAGGTGCGGAACTTAGACCCTGCCCCTGCCGGGGTCCGCGACCGACCCGTGGCGACCGAGGTGTCGCAGCAGCTCAGCTTGGAGGTGCCGGGGGTCATTGCAGGCGTGGAACACCGGTCAACAGCTTATCGTGTGACGATCAAGATGGAAGAGAGGAAGAGACTCTCGAACAACACGAGGTGATCTGCGTGCAACAGATCTGATCTTTTTTACAGATCACGATCATGATCACATTGTATCTTTTGGCCGAATCGGTTTCATAGATCAACGTCAAGGGGTATCAGGAGGGAATACACAGTCTGACGCTGCAATACATGCGGAGGATACCTGGCAGGGGTCAGGGGCGGTTCCCTGTCAGAAGTTCTCGGGGTCCAAGAAGAACCCTGACTTCCTGTCATCTATCTGAAGTTCCCTTTCAAAGCTCTTGGGAATGTCCAAGACAGCATGAATGTCCAATGAATGTGTCGACAGCTGAAGTTCTCGTGCGTCACATTGGTCACCTTTGCACTGGTCGTCCTATGGACCGGAGGTGCGTTCTGAAGGCGTTCTGAACGGGGTCGTGATATCCATGCAGGGGGGCTCCCAGGGGAGCACGGCAGATGTGTTGCGCACGTGCATTTGGTCGGGGAAGAAGACTCGGAGTGGGAGAGTTTTTTTGGCCCCTTGGTTTCACGGTGCCAGGACTGCCTCATGTGGCTGAAGCTGCTCCTCCTGCCCACGGCTTTGGGCCTTTGGGGGAGTTGTGGGGTGCGGAGCCTTAGAAGGGTGGCAGGAGCTTGTGGGTTTGCAAGGAATTTATATGGGAATACCGTGGAATTCATGTGATTTTGGGGTTGCTTGACGAGACCAGAAGGCTTTTTCAAAAACTTCTGCTGCTCTTCGCTGCAAAGGGCCATGGTCTTTCCACAGGACTTTCCACGGAGTGTTTTCGCACTGGAGTGGGCGTCGCACAGTTAAAGGCTTCTTGGGCCTGCACCCGATTGGCTGCCCCCAAGTGGTACATCTAGGATCATATTAGGATCAGAAGCATTTGGCGCTAACCATCACACCTCTCCATCACACCCCACTCGAACGCAGCAGCTTACTGTAACTCGCAGCAGACATGTTTCACGCCATGGGCCGACAGTCCAGGGCCCTTGCACTCCGACTCCACTTCTGTCAGGTTTTGATGCGTGCCGATCTGGAGATAGCTTTGGGGTAAACGATCTGGATGGGTTCTGGGTCGTCACCCACCTGGATGCTCCAGTCCACCATGGATGTCCGAACATGAGCGGCTACGATCTTCCAGGTACACCTGGATTTTCTGTCCAACATAGCTAGATGCAAAATGGGGCCTTTTTCATCCTTTTTCAACATCGGCCAGAAGGCAGACGGTTTGCAGAGTTGGAAGATGCAGGCATATATTTCTGCACAATCCCCAAAGTCAGTTGGACAACAGAACAAGATCTGTTTTCAAAAAACACGTGCTTTCGTGTCCCCTTCTGCTACAGAAGCTGCCGCAGACTAAGCCGTTCACATCGCGCTGATCTCAGGCGAGTTGCCGAAGCCCTTGGACTTGCAGACCGGGCCTCGGTGGAGGATGCGGCACGAACGATCGAGAATTGATGAAGACCCAGGTCCAGGTCATCATGATCACAGCCGAAACGAGTGTTTTTCTGAAGGGGTTCTTGGGATTTCGCGGGGCCTTGCCAAGAATAACACGACACCAGGTGGTGAACTTGGTGAACTTCTTCGCTGCTTCCAGTTCTTGACAGAAAAGTTATATAAAGGTGTCAAAGCTTGGCGAGTTGATTT